TGCATATATATAGCAACCATTAACAGGCCAAATATGACAAGTGTAAAGAAAATTCAAAACGAATTTGATAATCAGACAAACGACAACTATTTAATTGCAGGATTTAAACTTTGGACAGGCATACATTATATATGTCGGGGTTAAACATGTTTTCTGGCACCAAACCCTCCCACTTACCTGTAACATTGGTGTAAAGCTTCACAAATTTTGTGTTAAACTTTTGGGCCTAGTTGGCCGAGTGACCGAAGTAGTTCACCTATAGTAATCACTAGAGAGTCAATACTGAGGTTGTTAGTTCATACTGATGTGATCGACTGTAATTATAATTTACTAGGGTTGCCAGTTTTGCTGCAGGTGGCCGATGGTTCTATCACTATATCACATATACAAATTTTTAAATCGGACATAAAGCAAAATCATCGGGAAAAAAGGAAAACGGACCGAAAGCAAAAGTATCAGACGGAATGCAAAATAATCGGACATAAAGCAAAACGGACCGAAAGCAACGGACAAAAAGCAAAATTATCGGACAAAAAGCTAAACGGACCGAAAGCAACAAACAAAAAGCAAAAGTGTCGGACAATAATCAAAACTCGGACAAAAAGCAACACCGGACAAAAAGCAAATGTCGGACAAAAAGCACCGTATCATCTTTCTAATTTTAATTTCAGGATCCGCTTTCTAATTTTAACGGTCCAACATGATTGTTATTACTTAAGCAACCTCGTTAAAGGTGCGGATCCAGGATTTTGAAAAGGGGGGACCTAGCAAAAGTTTATGAAAAAGTCTATGCATTTATCATATATAAAATTCCAGAAGGGGGCGTGCCCCCTGTCCCTCCTAAATCTGTCTCTGCAAATTGTTTTTAAACCTATACATGTAGCCGTACAATGGAGCCTATGAGAATACAATCTAAGTATACATCTCAATAACCGAAAACCAACTTATATTTTCCAGTATACAATTATATATCAATATAAAGCTTGACACGTTTGTATTTTTTTTAAACTTATTTGTTTTTTGTTTTTGTTCGTTTAAAAATATAGGACAACGGAGTTGGCATACGTGAGTTCGATTCCCACCCTATACATTCATTTATATTAACTGGTGCAAAGCGGGCAGTTTATCTGAGTGGCCCCGCACAGACTTTGTTGTTCCTTTGTCAACAAATTACGGCTGCCGCGGCCAGGTCAGGTCTTGCTATCTTTCTTTTTTTTTTCGAATTCCATATACAACAAAACCAAGGTATAATTGAGAAAATTATACCATAGATAATAGCTATGGTTTAGTTATCGGTTATTGATATTCATACTCTGGTTGCATTCCCTAGGTTACATTGTACAGCTATAGGTTAAACCAATTTAATACCACTAGATTCTACCAGACTCTTACGGAATTCTTCATAGTCAGTTCAATATGACCATTAACACACCAAAAGAACTTCAACGACATGGTGGCGACAACATGTCGGTCGAAAAACCCTTTTCGGATTTTTGTTTCTTTTTTCGGATATTCCCTTAAAACATCACAAAGGAGCAGATGATTTTCTGAGAAGTATACGATTTCTCGCACATTAGTATATCTGAATTGGAAAATAACCTTCAGGAGCTCATCAGGTAAAACCTGTTTCATACTAATTTAACGTAGTTTAACTTATTTAATATTTTCTTGCTCTTTGATATCGATATCCTTACGACATTACAATAACAAGAATTTATAAATACTGCCTTAAATTCTTATAAAGGCAGAAAAGATTAAATTTGCATATTGTACAAAAAAGTAAAACAACAAAAATACCGAATTCCGAGGAAAATTCAAAACTGAAAGTCCCTAATCAAATGGCAAAATCAAAAACTCAAACACATCAAACGAATGGATAACAACTGTCAAATTCCTGACTTAGTACAGACATTTTCTTATGTAGAAAATGGTGGATTAATCCTGGTTTTATAGCTAGCTAAATCTCTCACTTGTATGACAGTCGCATAAAATTCCATTATATTGACAACAATGTGTGAACAACTGATCGTCTTTTATGCGTCAAATGAATGACCATTAAACCATACAAATTGAATTAGAAAAAGTATGTACAAAATAATAAAAAAACTGTACCTCTTCGGTTTTTTTGTTGTTGTTTGTATGTATCCAGAATTTTAAAATTTTCACTCCTTGGTAGCTTAAATTTAGTCAAACCCATTACTTATGACAGAAGAAGGTGTCATACGCACGCGCTGAAGACTCCGAATGCAATGCATGTAATTATAAAAACCGATTGATTCGAAAGGTTTCCCGTACTTTAAAAAGAAAATTGCGCCACAACTCGGAAAACTTTCAAACTTATTGCACTTAACGATTGTATGCAGTGAATCCCTAGCCTAGAGTGTCTATACTGTCTAGAAATTTACAATGAGGGTCTGTTGACACTTTAATCATCAAAGCACTCTCTCTAAGTTTAGTTACCATTAGCATTTTTGTGTATTATGAAAAATATACTGGCACAAAATGTAACACTGAAAACTGAACCAAAAGCAACAAAGAAATTGTCTAAAACAAAACGAGACGACACTTTGGATACACCTGAAGTTGACCGCTTCTTGTTCAGAAAATGACATCCGCTGCATGTGATCCTAATGGAAAGTAAAAGTTCGTTGATAAGTCGCATTCGATGAAGTTATAATCAAGGTATTGAAAATAGATTGTTGCTACGACAAATTGAAACACAACAGTAGTCACTTGCTACACAGATATTCCATAATAGTCAACCTAATCTTTATAGCATTCGTAAAATGTTCTTACGGATGACCTCAACTTAACCCATTAGGAATCCCTTGTTTAGATGATTCAACAAATAAAATGTTGACGCAAATAACAACATAGTACTAGTCGGCCATATTGTCAAAAGTTGCGATCAAAGTCCGGTCATTGTTAACTTCTTTATAAGTCAACATAGCAAGAAAAATCACCCCCGGTTTTTGGTAGGGTTCGTTTTGCCTAGTCTTTAGTTTTCTATACTGTGTTTTGTGGTAGATTTTTTTTTGGTCGTTTTTCGTTTTTTGCAATGGCATTGTCAGTTCATTTTCGACTTATGAGTTTGAAAATCCCTTTGGTAGGTTTCACCTCTCTTTTTATTTCATTGTGAACTTCCATTTCTATGTAGAAACATTCCAGGTGAACTTTGAATATGGAGTATATATCTCTTAACTGTTACGGTATTCCAGGGCTTGCGTTTTCTGTCATAAATTCCTTTACCGAGGGTGTCTGGTTTTCTAAAAAGCTTCTGAATGGAAAATATAAGGACACGACGATAATTTGGTTGACCGTTATGGAATATATGTGTCGCAGACAAGCATGGATACGTTCCATAATTTCTATGTCACAGATGATCAATGATTTGTACCGTCTGGCATAGCCCAAATCGCATCTTCCCGTGGAAGATATCAATAGTCCAAAAGTAAAGGTCACTTTTACAAAAAGTAGAAACTCCGAATTGGAATGCAACTTAATAGAAGATATACGGAAGAGAAAGACGCATATTGATTTTGGGTTCAACAAGTTATAGGACAAGGTCAATGTTACAAAAACAAGATTTAAAAAAAGTTAGTTTCGGAATTGTATCTCACTTTAGTTTGTAACGCACATATACAAGTGAATAATAAGCAATGCTAGTACATGTTTACATTTGTTCCGCCAAGCTGCGAGTATTTTAAACCATTGAAATGAAAAGTTTTGTATTAATACAACTGATTTTTATAGTTTGTTCTTATGTTGTGCTTTTACAACACTGTCCCAGGTTAGGGGGGGGGGGGGGGTTGAGCGCTCACAAACATGTTTAACTCCGCCATATTCTTTATGTGCCTGTTTCAAGTTAAGAGCCTGTAGTTCAGTGGTTGTCTTTGGTTCATGTCTGTCATATTTGTTTTTTTGAAAATTGTGTTGCTATAAATTAGGCCGTTAGTTTTCTCAATTGAATTATTTCATATTTTTTCATTTCGGGGCCTTTTATAGCCGACTATACTGTATGGGGTTTTCTTATTGTTGAAGGACGTACGGTTGCCTATAATTGCTTACATCAACTTCATTTGAACTTTGATGGATAGTTGTCTCATTGGCAATCATACCACATCTCCTTATTTTTACATGGAGTTCATGGAGCATCTGATGGCAGTACTAGGTTTTGACTTGTCTCTATCTAAACAAAGGCAGCAGTAGTATACCGCTGTTCAATAGTCATAAATCGATTAAGGGAAAACAAAACCGGGTTGCAAACCAAAACCGAGGGAAACAAATCTAATATAAGAAGAAAACAGCGGAACAACAGAAACACTGCACTGCTACAAAAACAAACGCCAACATACATAGAAACGGACTATTTGATTACAACTGCCATATTCCTGACTTGGTACAGGACATTTTAAGAAAAATGGTGGGTTGAACCTGGTTTTATGGCTAGCCAAACCTCCCGCTCATATGGCAATGTTAAAAATAAAATTATCATTGACATAATTCAATATGTTTCAAAAGGTAAATCAATGTTATGCCTCATCGGTTGTCTCATGGTAAGGAACTCGCCTCGAATGGGGGTGTTTGTGTGTTCGATATCCGATCTGTTGAAACTAAAGACTTGAAACATGGTTATTTTCTGCTACCTTTTTTTTTAATTTTTCACACAACAGTTAGTAGGTAGATCAAACGCTGGTCAAATCAGAATCAAAACAATGTAAACGACTGGGGTGACATGACTTTCTGTGGACTGTTATCCTGTGAAATAACATGTTAAAAATCCTGCTCAGTGTCGGTATTGTACAATCAGAAGTGGTATTCATATTACATTAACATATCCTCTTCTTAATATTCATCTGCTATTTACCACTTATTATACACCAATTAGACATCATAACCCTCAATTAATATATTATAAAAGTGGAAAATTAATATAGAAAACAGGTATGTTTACTGGAAACTGAACAAACTTATTGATCGATTGTCTTTTTGTGTTTTAGATAGAGGATTTACATTGCAACACTGGCATTACCATCAAAGTTCTCACGATGAACAGGTGGCAGTTTATTCATGTAAAGAATTCTTACAGGGATTCGCTTTTGTGTCGATCATAGATTTTGACGAAATCATCGTTAACGATAGATTTTCAGAATACACAAAATTACTTATGGTAACTATACTTAGACAGTAGATGTTTTGAGGATTAAAACTGTTAACCTAGAAAAGAGAAAGATAAAACAAAACAATACAAAAGGAGTTACAAAATTAGATTTTCAAATAAGAAGAAAAATGATAAAAAGAATAGTTTAAATTTACGAATGTTAGATTCTTTATTTTGCTGTAACAAAATAATGACTTTTTCGGACAGTTCCGTATACACTATTTACGACCATAAAGTGTGCTGTTGACGTCTCCGTAGGTTGAGTTCGAAATCCACTGGATAAATGATATAAATTTGCAAGTGCTAAAATGCTATTCTAACATTAAACAGCTAACATAAAAAAAATGTTATACACAACCCATGTAAATATACACAAGTCATGTAAATATACACAAGTCATGTAAATTGAACATTTATTTAAAATCTTTTATATATTATATCATAAAGAAAAGCTACTGAAAAGCATATACATGAAAGAACTGTAACTGTTTATGTAGGCATTCCATATTCATGTAATGAAATATACTCTCAAGACGAAACAACGATTAATGCAAGTCGACCATACCGTTGAAAAAAGAGGGACGACAGATACCAGAGGGACAGTCAAACTCAAAGATCGAAAACAAACTGACAACGCCATGGCCAAAATTAAAAAGACAAACAGACAAATAATAGTACAGATGACACAACACAGAAAACTAAAGACTAAGCAACACGAACCCCACCAAAAACTGGGGGTGATGTCAGGTGCTCCGGAAGGGTAAGCAGATCCTGCTCCACATGTGGCACCCGTCGTGTTGCTTATGTTATTACAAATCCAGTAAATAGTCTAATGCGGTAGGTCACATTCGTGAAAAGGGAAAGGTATTGTAGTTACGACATAAGGAACATATTCGATATCATCCGTGAAACGGTTATTCCATAACGGTCAACAAACTCGTGATGGCGTCCGTAAAATTTACGAATGGATGATTTCAACTTCACCATTTGGAACTCTTGGTTTAATAGCTTCCTTGTGAGCAGCAATCCTCTATATTAAGGAAATCATGATAGGAATTACAAGCCCGGGAATATCGTATCAATTGGGAGATATATACTCCGTATGCAGGCGCTGCTGGAATTTTGCTACATAGAAATGGAAAGTTCACAATTGGGAAGCTGAAATCATCTCTTTTGTCGTAAAGTTTTGTTTTCAACCGACCCTCATTGTCAATTTCTAGATGTAAGTCAAGATATGAGGCAGACTTAACTGTATCTGTAGTATCCTTTGCCTCTAGTTCGATGGGATAGATTCGTTCAACATAGTCACCAAATTTTGTATTATTTAGTGAGAGAACATCATTTATATAGCGGAACGTAAAGTTAAAGGTTATTGCTAACTTCTTATCTCTCTTCCTAAGAAGTTCCTGTATGAAGTCATGCTTGTATTTTATTCCTTTTATGCATAATTATTTGTTCTTTCTTAATAGGCTTTAAGCATCGGTGGTCACGTGCTAGCATGCTTGTATCGAATGCAGTAGGTCATCCGTTCGATCTACTACCAGCACAGATCAACGACTGGAAAATTGGTATTTGCTGCTTTCCGCTAAGCACGCAAAATTTACATGAAGGATTAAGAGCAAAAAAAAAATGTCAGCTTGATGTAAGAATGATGTAAATGGTTAGGATGGCATGCCATCCTGCGGGCGGTTACCTTATGAACTAACAAGCTAAAATACGATTTAACCTGTTTGTGTAGTGCATATCAACATAATAACACTAACATGTTCTTGGACTGATATGCAATATTATACAATTATTGACTTTTGATGAAGTTGATAGAGTGATTTATCAACCCCAGAGATATGATATTCACTGAGTCCAACGTCCGAGGTTGAATGTCATATCTCTGGCGCTGATAAATCATTTTATCAACTGAAATCAAAATTAATCAATTGTTTTATTATATGACTTTTTATCTTTCTCCAATTTTCTAGTATTTGCTCAAAATACTTTTAAAACTGCTCCCTGTTTTTATATAAAATATATCATCTGCTTTTGCAGTTGCTAATTTTCATAAGTTTAAATATTCAATAAAGTTTACTAAAAAATATACGCCAAAAAAAAAAAAGAAGAAGAGAAAAAATACACAGAAAACAAGAAGAAAAAGAAAAAAAACGGGAATTTACTTGACGTCATAAACCTATGTCATTGGCGTTGCCTTGAAATATCTATATTTAGGTACACGGACACCAAATCTTATATTAACCTCTCGTGATTTTTGCCGCTGTGAATATAACGTTTTATCAAAGATGATTTCCTATGCGTTTAGCCATTAGAAAACAGAAAATTTATAGTCGTATAATAATTCCCATTGGAACTTAAACACACTTCATCATCGTCAGCAGCAGCAGCAGTTGCAAAAAGCAGCAGCAGGAGCAGTCCCATCAATTGTCTTCAAGGTTTTTTTCTAGTTTTTGTGTCGCCTCGTCTCGACGAAGGCGGGTTGAGACTTTGATATGACCTTTCTAGCGTTAACATATGTGATGAGATCACTGTCGTAAGTTATTTGTATTTGGGATAGACTTGTATTACCATTTGTACATTTCATTTCGATTTATAGTATTAGTAATTGTCCCTATGCCTCAGTCATGGTCCATTGAAACGTTTGCTTACGTGTTAAAATTTTGACATTAAATTATAAACTTTGCAATATACATGTACTATCAAAATTACATACGGGAAAAACATATATGTGCGTCAACATTTCAGTTGTTTAATTTGTTGAAGCAACTGAATATGGGTAATGATACTGTTAAAGTCATTCTGTCGAAAGTTTACGAATAATGATTTTGTTGACCATTATGGAATATATTTGACCACTGTTACGTTCAAGTTATCGTAGCCACAAACCATCTTCAAGGTGACATTTTGTATTGTTTTAGTAGAGTTCTTGGTCATTTTGATTTAGTTTTCAGTGTTGCATTTTGTGCAATTTTATTTTTCAATGTGTGTTGGGTTTTTTTTATACCGGTAACCATCTTTGGTTCTCTTTGTTCGTGAAAAATGGCGAAGTTAAAGGGTTAGATAAATGACTTGACCGATAGTCAATGAAAGGGTTACATGTGAGACATAATACAATCCACTACCAAATTTTTTATCACCGGTTATTACTCAACATATTATATGATGGATGTCACTGGTGAAGATGGAAATACCAGCCCTTTTCGGAACACCTAAGATCTCCCCTCAGTTTTCTGTTTAGTGTTTTAGGACTATTGTTATTTTTTTCGTCGTTTTTGACATTATGTATAACTTATACCTTAATCATGTAAACAGAGGCGAAGATATCTAGGAGTTACTTATACAGGCTGTATAAGTAACTCCTAGATATCTTCGCCTCTGTTTACATGATTAAGGTATCAACCGAATACACTCGTGTTTCTTAGTTTGTGTTGTTGTCATGTTTTTGTTTTAATTTGGTGGCTTGCGCGTTTTGTCAAAACTCGAGTCTCTGACTAGGATAAGTTGGAAATCTTCATACAATGCATACAACTAATTTCAATATCTTGTTAATGTAAGCTTCCTCTATTCCACGATGTTATTTTAAGAAATGTAGCGAGGAATTATTTATTTAAAATTTCAATATATATTTATGTATCTAAAAATGAACAATGCAATATAAAAAAATGTATAGAAGAAAACATAACTACCCTTAGCGGATGTAAATTGTATTTCTGGAAACAACTTTATTTGGAATGAGAGTGGACAGAATATTATCGTTATTTCCTTTTTCTTCTTTCCGCTAACGTAGAATTATAGCAATTGTCAAAAACATTTTTCAAGCAGCAACTCATTTCGAACACAACATGCAGGAGTTAGTAAGAGGACATACAAGTTAGCAAAAAGACTAAGGTGGTGTGACATGTCTTTCTGCTTACTGTTACCATACAAACTAGCACTCTTTAAATACGGATCAATGTTTTGTTTTTGCACACAGCATGTCCCTTTAACATAGAACTACTAGAAAATACCCGTATATTTTGTTACCCGTTTGTTTTCGCTTAATCGATTTATGTCTATTGAACAGCGGTATACTACTTACTTTCCCAATTTCAATTTTCAATTTTACTGTTGCCTTTTTTTATATATGCCATCCTCTTCCTCCTCCTCATCAATTTGTTTACCATTTCATTTATAGTCAGAGATCTTACCGTCTTATCCAGATGCTGCTGCTTTCACCCTGAATGTTTCATTCTTTATAACGGACTGGGGAGTGTCAGGAGTAGAACCTTTGATAACCAGTAAATACATAAGAAGAACATATCCTCTTGCTTATCGATATAAAAATATTTATTTGCCAAACAGAACAGAAACAATTGATACTCATCGAATATGGTCAAAGGATGGCTACAGAAGGTATTTAAATAACTAGAACATGATAAAAATTGTACTCTTTGGACGGGTTGTTGTCCCTTTGATACATTCCCCGTTTCCATTCATTATTCTTTATAGAGCAAAACTTCTTGCTCATTTAACATCTTCTGTTATTTTTTTTTAGCTCACCTGGCCCAATGGGCCAAGTGAGCTTTTCTCATCACTTGGCGTCCGTCGTCTGTCGTCGTTGTCCGTCGTCCGTTAACTTTTACAAAAATCTTCTCCTCTGAAACTACTTGGTTAAATTTAACCAAAATTGGCCACAATCATTATTAGTGTATCTAGTTTAAAAAATGTGTTTGATGACCCCGCCTGCCAACCAACATGGCCGACATGGCTAAAAACAGAACATTGGGGTAAAATGCAGGTTTTGGCTTATATCTCTGAAACTAAAGCATTTAGAGCAAACCTGATAAACAATCAGTAAAAACCGACACTAGTTAGATTCCATAAATAAGTGCCTTGAAAATATTGAATATGGTTCCAATTATAATTTATTTACCAAATTAACAATTTAAGATTATTTACAACAAAAAGTTCAGCTTTCTTCCCTTAACAGATGCAAATTTTGTAATTACAGTCCCTTTCGTGACGAGTAACATACCTAAAAGATTAACCCATCAGTAACCAGATTAATGAACAGTTTGTCTTTGGCACCTTTATCTGCGAAGACAGTACAACTTCCGAAATAGAGTGCGTCAGTAAACATCGAATGTCTTAGCCATGGATTCTCTTTAAACCAAAATGCATTCAGTTTTCTCTCCCGACCATAGATAACACTACAATTTAACCAAAACTTTAAATCATGGATTGTGCCATTATATATTCCATATTTTTAAATACAAACAAAAAGAAGGCTGGAAATTGAAAGCAAACCTCAATACATGATACTCACATTCCCCATAAACCCAGACCCCTAATAATCATGGGGGTCACTTATATATATTTGGCATACCTGAGGCTGTGTAGCTTTGAATTTCAATATAACCAACAATTCATATATTTCCAATAGAATTTTATTGTTTTCTTGAAACTACCATCATTCAATTAATAAATATATAATGTAAAAGCACCCCCCTTTTATATTTGACAGCTCAAAAACGGACCCATTACAGTGGCATTTCTGTTTATGGAACTTTGGAATATAAGAACCAGTGATCCCCTTTTCCCGGAATTTGAGTCTCCCCATGGGGTTTTTGATTTAATATGATAACTTAGCCTTTTTAGTGGTGATATTGCCAAAACTTGTGAAAATAAAATTAAAATTTGTACATAGATGGAACCGGGTATTTATAAGCCCAGGAATGATCGCACTCTGTCACAAATTGAGTTTTGATCAATTCGTCTTTCATGTCACAGGAAGCGATATCAGGATATGGTGGTTTATTTGGTGGTAACGTTGTTGCTTCGTCAGATGTTGAAGCCATTGCTCCGCTTGGCTCAATTTCAGACGAAATTTGTCCGCGGGTCTGCGTATCATCATCATCTGCGCTTTCAGTAGCCGATGACGTAGTCTTTTTACGAAAAAAGTCGAAACACTTTTCTGCTTTTCCATCTTGTTTACATAAACTAAATGAAGAACACATGCTTCGGAAATGATTTGGCGTTGTTCTCATATCCTTACCCCTGTAACATTCGGAGACCTACTGCTGCGAACATATGCGATTATATGCAATTATATATTTATTTTATTTTTTTATTTTTTTTGTCAAAATGATGTGGATGCTTGAGCATCTGAGCATACATGCAAGCTACGCCACTGGACACTCTGAATAAGCGCCGACAAAACAAATGTAAAAACTGTCGCCTGTTTTGGTAGATATTGAAAATGATCAACATTGAAGTTTTAAACAACAACGATGGAGTCAATTTGGACCTAAACGTTCGACGATAATCAAGGGATATCTAAATGGTCTGACACCATTAATTCTTTAGAGGATTTATTCATCAGTGTTTTTTGACAGATTTTGTATTTAAATCGTGCACCTTTGCTTTATAAACTTTTTTCAGCATAAATGTAATTTGAAATAAGATGGTAATATTCCAAACAATAATTGATATATCACCTAGGAGTACATAACAGCAACATGTGAGTTGCAGTTTGGAAAATCAAGGTATATATTTTTTTTTGTAGAACAAATTGACCCTATTCATCTGCTTTTAAATACTTTGAATTTGGTTCAAGAATATCATAACAATTCTGAAAATGTATTGCGCTATGTGTGTCAGTGAAACGAAAAATTTTGAGCCTCTAATTCTAAGATGTAATCTATAAGCTTTTGTAGGACGAACTCTGACATTTTTGAAAATCGTCTGATGACTGAATTAATTTGTCAATGATAAAGCGACAATTTCAATATTGAATAGATCTATATATTCAAGCTTAAAAGGTAATATGTAGACGTAAACTGGGCCTGAAAATCATATCATTTAACATATATCTATATCCTCCAAGAACGATAGAAAACACCAATGCTTTTATTTTCATGTATTTTGAAAGAAAAAAAAAATACACGTAATTCATAAGTTTTTAATCATTTAAAAATAGTGGTCCTAGGTCACCTTTGAATTTTTTATAATGTAACCGTCTGATATCGATTTTGCTGCACACAGGGCATGTTATATGAAATAGTTTTAATATGGACATTCGTAGAAACGACACAAGTTATGCACAACTAGCGTAATGTAAACCAATACATAATGCATTTTTGATAGGCGAATGAAAATGATTCACATTTAAATTCCGCCTGTATCAGTGCAAAACTCCCTGAATATATCACCAACAACAAACAAACCAAACACACAAACAAAACTTTGATATAACTTTTCCATTTCTCATAATGTAAAATAACATTTATTTCGCTCCTCCAGGCTACGCCTTATGTACAATATCCCTCAGTTCGCTTCTTCCTACTACGATAGAACAGACAATTACCAATTTCTGTCCGAAGCTAATATTTTGTGTCTTTCTTAGCTTTGAATATTTTGCTTAGTGCAAATATGATTGTTAATCTTTCCAAAACAGCGAACATTCTGTACGTGATGTGAAAAACCTCCTCGATGTACGCAAACTCGTTATTTATACAACAGGCTCCACCCACCAATGACATAATACATAAGAAAAACGTAACATGAAGAATTGCGCCGAAAAGTGAAAGTATCGACGAACAGATTCGAATTTTGACAATTGCACCTGCAAAAGAATACACAATTACAATTACATAGCACCTCTTAATAGATTTAAGTTCAAGTAAATCACTCTTTTTCTATAAAAATATCGAACGAGGTGTATCAAGAGACTGCATGGAGAAGTGTGGAACAGGTCTACAACTAGAAAAATACGCAATGAGCTTTTCCGAGTTTCAGTTCATAACACTACTAATGACTGAAGGGTAACAAAATTTGTAAATGCATATGAGATCATATGAGTACCAAGCTGACGGGCGTGATGTTAAAAATTTAAAAGATTTAAATTTCTCGAAATTCACAGAATTTTGTTTCACAATGATAGAGAGCATATTTTATTCCTGTGAACAATTCCGTTTAAGTGATTTAAAAAAATATAAAAAAGTGGTAAGGGGTCACCAGATTGGTCTGTGTAAGGTAGTACGAGTGACTGGTTAATATTTTAGTCTTAGATGCATGATATTTTATTAGTTGTTTTTGGCTTTGAACTAGCTGTCAGTAACTGCGAGTACTCTCAGATCTATGTCTTTTTTGTTGTGAATGATTTATAAATTCCCTGCAACGTCCGGTCTGTTTATTTTTTTGTAAGTTATTTTTCTGCTTTGTATCGACCTGATGAATTAGCCCTTTTCAACTGATTTTTATAGTTTGTGCATATGTTGTACTGTTATACCACTGTCCCAGGTAAGGGGGAGGGTTTGGTGCCAGCAAATATGTTTAAACACGTGATATTCCTTTTGTGTCTGTCCCAAGTCAGGAGCCTTCAGTTTAGTGTTTGTCGTTGGTTCATGTCTGTCATATTTGTTTTTCGTATTGTTTTGTTATAAATTAGACCGTAAGTTTTCTTTAAACTTTGGTGGATAGTTGTCTCGTTGGCAATCATACCACTTCTCCTTATTTTTGTATTCGGAATGTAGGAAAACTACGAATTGGAAGCGTGGCATTATCCATTGTCCTTTTAATCCATTTCCCTGTACAATCAAAAAGTAATCGACTGATCCCCTATATATTTTACATGCAAAAATGTGCATAGCAATAACGTATTTTAAAAAGCTTTCAGTAATCAAGTTTTCTTGCAAAATTTACTTTTTACGTTTTAGAGTTTTATATTTGTCTCACACCTTGTTATCTGAATGTATCTCTCGAAAGTTTATTGTTATATACTGAATTCAATTTTCTAATGCTATTCAACGAGTATTAAATTCAAAACACAGACTATTGTAGCATCAGATAATTTAGAATTTTTGTATGTCGATATGTTGTTGAAGGCATTGACACTTAAAACTTAACAAAGAGAGAACCAATAACTGGCCATTTTAAAGATTAGTGTAAAACACGTAGATACAAGTGCTACATAAGCAATAACTAGTATTATATTGTCTTTTTAGGTAACAAACTTAACAGTTGAATACCATAAACGTATCAGTCAAGCGATAACTTGATTATTTAGGAAATTCAATCATGCCGTAATAATAATAGTAAGAACTTGATTAGAATTTTTTTTCTCTTTTTACAGAATGTCATAGTTGTCTCAATTTATTACAGAAGCTTAAGCAATAATTTAGTTTATGATTTTTTTTTTGCTACAAAAACTAAAAAAAATATATTTTAGCTCTTACCATTTTTTTTGGGCAAACGGTTTGAAACAGAAATTTATGCTTATGAGGTTGTATTGAAGTCCACTATGTTCCCTGGTGTTACTGCTGCCACATAGGCAGATGTATTTTGGTGTTACTGCTTCCACGTAGGCAGATGTATTTAGTGCATTGTGCTCAAGTCTTATTTGGTTAGTTCTGCTATTCCTGCAAAAAAGTCCGACATTTCTTAATAAAATGCTCATATCATACGTTCTTGTTTCTTATTCTTTCTTAAAGATTTTAATAATACGATACAAAGGCTACGAATTTTAGAAAGTATTCTTTAATACAATTTCTATTGCATACCAGCGTATTTTCTTTCTCGTTACAGGATCTCACTACGATCTCACAATGTTATCCTTCATCACTACAGAGATTGCAACAAATTAGATATGTTTCCTGGTGACTGCATGACATTTCCAAAATATAAAGATACTAAAATGATAAAAATAATGACAAAATTATATGACAGAGTAGTTGCTTCTAAAAAAAGATGCAAAATATAATTTTTCTTTATTAGTTCAAATAAATATTGAGTTCATCCGAATCGACAATTTGGTTTATGCTTTTAAAAAGTCATATGAAACGAGTTCCTTGAAATTTTAATGTTATCGAAATTATTGAACCAATGCATGCATACATACTAAACTAATATGAAAAAGAAGATGTGGTATGATTGCCAATGAGACAACTCTTCACAAGAGACCAAATGACACAGAAATTAACAACTATAGGTCACCATACGGCCTACAACAATGAGCAAAGCCCATACCACATAGTCAGCTATAAAAGGCCCCGAAATGACAAATGTAAATCAATTCAAACGAGAAAACTAATGGCCTAATTTATGTACAAAATATTGAACGAAAAACAAATATGTAACACAGCAACAAACGACAACCACTGAATTACAGGCTCCGGACTTGGGACAGGCACATACATAATATGGCGGGGTTAAACATGTTAGCGGGCGCCCAACCCTCCCCCTAATCCTGGGACAGTGGTGCAACAGAACAATACAAGAACTGTACAAAACAATAAACAAATAGCGCATATGATCAACAGCAACAAACAACAACCACTCAATTACTGGCTCCTGACTTGGGACAGGCACATATAGAATGTGGCGGGGTTAAAAATGTTAGCGGGCACCCACCCTCCCCCTAACCTGGGTCAGTGGTAACAGTACAACATAAGAACACACTGTAAAAATCAGTTGAAAAAGGCTTAATTCATCAGATGGATACAAATAGAAATACATCTAACAAAAACACAGAGTGGACGTGACCGGGTACTTGTACATCCAAACAACAAAAAGACACTAAGAACAGAACTGAGAGTACTCGCAGTTACTGACAGCTAGTTCAAAGCCAAAAACAACTAAATAAAAAAAAATCATGCATCTTAGACTAAATTATCAATCAGTACACATCCAACAACCAATGGATTTAGTGTAAAGAAGTCATGAACATTCAGAGAAAAACATGCAATGCCAAGATACAGGTATCGACAGATTGTAGAGCCATGAATATGCATATGTATATATAACAATTATATTTAGTTTGCTTTTAATTTACTGATTACAAAATCAATATTAATACCAATAAAAACAATATTCAAAGACATAATTACAGTGTTGAATTAGTAACCTTTTAGAATAAGTTTATTTAAAGGGTCGATAAGTTTACCAGGATCGTTTCTAAATTTCCGGGCACGGTAAACAACATCTCCGTAAAAATGAGGATCGATGTGCTATCCCGTTTGAAATAAGTTTTCTACAGGTACAACCAAACTTCAAAACCAAATCTGTATATCTATGGAAGAATTTAGTAAAGGTTTTTAATAATTTGTGGTAACGAAATCCCTGACTTAATAATTTACCAGTAATACATAGTCTTGCATGCACGTTGTTTTATATTTATTACACATCTTTAACTTATTATCGACAAATAATATTTCATTCAGTGGTTGTTGATCGAAAGCTAATTAACTTTCGAGTTTGTTGCCGAAGTTTACCGGATCGTGATATTGATAAACAATAAAAAAAGAGCACGCGGAAATCGTCTCAGATAAGTGAATTGAAAGAGTCATGACTTTTTTTTTTATATTTTCCAGTGTTCCCATTTGTTTATTCCTTAGCAGTTGTTAAATGATTTGTTGTATTAAATTTGTTCTTTAAGAATCTATTATTTCTATTTACCTTCAAAAGCACGTGTGTTTCTATTCTTTCATCACGGTTTTCCCCTCGCACTTGCGTGTGCGGTGGCCGAAGTTATATCGAGAGGTCTCGTAGTTAAGGTCACTGCATACGGGAAAATATCGGCGAATAAGTGTCTGGAAAGACAATAATTCAATATCGGTACATTTATGAAGATTTTGATAATATAAAGGATTTTCTTTTAAAAAAAAGTTCAAGTTCACTTCTTTAAGAGTATAACTTAGCCGTTCAAGTATATAAAACATGTTCAACTTTTTTTTTTAAATTTGAAGTTTCATATGACTTTAAGTATTTTACTTATTTGCTTTAGTCTGAATAAAATGTCACTGACAAAGTTATTATTTTTTTTATGAATAATATTATTTAATAATAATAATAATAATAATTAGGATTAGGATAATAGCAATATTTTTTTCATTTTTGTCTTATTATTTCGTTGTTATTGTCATCACCATAATGATCATTCCATACAAAAGTGGCGTATTTTTTATGACTGGAAAGCTTTGAAATTGAACAAGCATTATATCCGTTTAAACGAATGAAATTGGCATAGTTTAAAAAAAAGGAGGGTTTTTTACGTTAACTCAGAGAGTTAATTTGTTAAGCGACAAGAAAACATCTACGTCAAAACTCGTTTCCAAGTCAGGAATATATCAGTTGTTTTTCAGTCGTTCTGTTAGTTGATATTGTCGTGGTTTTAATTTGTCATGTTTTATGGACTTCCCCCTTTCTTAATTTACCTTGGAGCGCGGTATTTTTGTAAAAACATGTTTTAAAAACGTACAATTGACGACTTATATAAGTCAATTAGTAAATTTAACGAAAAAATAATATACATGATATATGCCGAACGAGAAATCCAATGTCGGAAATCTCGTGGCATCGAAGCGTATACAATATTTAAGAACTGATTTTTACCTTTATTCTGGATTCGTGTTCTTCATATTTTTACAATCACCTGCATATATATTAACCATAATGTTCAATCCTTAGGTAGGTTTAAGTGAATGTAAAGCGATCTGGAATTATGATTTTTTTTACAACACGTTAATAGATGCAAACAAAATCGTGAAATATTTTGAAATAGAAAAAGCAATATCGACTTTGTTATGATGGGATATTGAATTTTTATAATAAATTAAATTAGAACAAAATAAAATTATAAGTTTTGTTTACGTGCACCATGATTATGTATTATTTGTTCCCCAAAAAAAAATTTGTTCCAAAAGATAAGGCCCGAAAAGGCCCTTGTTTTGCCCCTTGAATTCGAAATAAATAAGTATTATAGTTTAATAGGGTCGGTTGAAAACAAAACTTTACGACAAAAGAGATGATTTCAGCTTCCCAATTGTGAACTTTCCATTTCTATGTAGCAACATTCCAGCAGCGCCTGCATACGGAGTATATATCTCCCAATTGATACGATATTCCCGGGCTTGTGCTTCCTATCATGATTTCCTTGATAGAGGATTGCTGCTCACAAGGAAGCTATTAAGCCAAGAGTTCCAAATGGTGAAGTTAAAATCATCCCTTCGTAAATTTTACGGACGTCATCACGAGTTGGTTGACCGTTATGGAATAACCGTTTCACAGATGATATCGGATATGTTCCTTATGTCGTAACTACAATACCCTTCCCGTTTCACGAATGTGACCTACCGAATTAGACTATTTACCGGATTTGTAATAAAATAAGCAACACGACGGGTGCCACATGTGGAGCAGGATCTGCTTACCCTTCCGGAGCACCTGAGATCACCCCCAGTTTTTGGTGGGGTTCGTGTTGCTTAGTCTTTAGTTTTCTTTGTTGTGTCATCTGTACTATTATTTGTCTGTTTGTCTTTTTATTTTTGGCCATGGCGTTGTCAGTTTGTTTTCGATCTACGAGTTTGACTGTCCCTCTGGTATCTTTCGTCCCTCTTTTAATAAATATCATTCTTCAAATATTCATTTTACATTAGTACTTCTGGTATTTTAATTGTTGTTCTACATAAATGCAATAGGGCTCGAAACTTCTCCCATTTCGTTCAAAACTGTAAAGAACTACCGAAATAGCCTCAATTTGAGATGTCAGTAACACTGGAGAAAAGCGGATATCTGTAATTTAAGGAACCTACATCTAAACATTGAGGAATTTGACATTTCTCAGATTGAAAACGATCACATAACGTTAATAAAGCAAATATTGTAAAACAATATCGAATGTTCTTGTCTTATCAACCATTACACACAAACATATTGACCAAGAATTGAAGCAATAATTAAAACACTACACACTAGGAAAACATGCAAAGTTGCTGAACATTAACTAGTATACTTATTTCAAGAAACAAAAACATTATCACAAAATCAGTCTATCTTATGTCAGTGTGAATTGTAAATAATACATTAAAATGTTCCATCTATTATTCCCAGGTGAGATGCAGCATGGGTTGCGTACTATGTTTTACTTTCTCCATCTTACAAGGAGTTGTGATGAAGTGTTGTTTTAATTTGGCTTTACCTAATCAACCTCATTATACTTCTGTAGCATTTATCCCTGCATCAAAGCTGTCTAACAAGATTACGGTTCATATTTGTCAAGGTTTCTACAACGGTATAGCTTCACATTCTTTTATTTTATCATTACCATCATTTTTTTTTTAAATAGTACATTAATCTTTGAAGATATTTTCAAACTTTAGATATTATCAGCGGGATCATGATGAAAAGGTTCACCTGATTACAAAGAAACATGCAAGATTTTAAAGCAGTTTATATATTTATATACTAGTAGTTGCAGTTCATTTACAGTTTACAGGAATTTAGTTCGAATCCCGGCGAGGGAAGAGCAAAAATTTGCCTCCGCAAATTTGCAGATTTAACATTGTTGTGCTGATATTTAAAGTAATTATGAATACAATATGTGTTTTCAGCCGTGTATCACCTTCACTGATGATCCAATGGATGGATCTGTCGTAGAGTTATCACTTGTTTAGACTTAATATATATATATATATATAATTACTCTAAATATCACCACAACAATGTTAAATAAATTTTGCGGAAGCAAATTTTTGTTCTTCCCTCGCCGGGATTCGAACTCATATATATATATAAATTTATTTTGATTAATCAAAGCAGTACTCTCATCACAGCCGCCAAATATAAGTTTCGAGAATAAGGATCTACAGAAAAAATTCATTTACCGTTGTGTATGATGTAATCTGTTTCTTGTCTCATGTCCTGTATGTACGTGCAATTATATCATGGATGTTTTCGAACATATGATATCAAAATCATTTGTTGTCGTATGTGTTAATATGGAGAATACAACAACAAAGAATGGGGAAAATGTGTGTAATTCAATGCAGAGCTATATAAGATCGACATATAAAGACAAACCAATCGTCAAATTTGAAGCTCTTTGGTTTGCATGTGTAACTTTCAATTTCCACAATTTTCACAAATAATCGGCAAGTTTTCGGATTGTTTAATGTTTAATTGATTAAAGCCCTCTCCAATTTGAATAGAAATGATCTTTATGATTAAGTATCCGTTCAAATCGTGAACCTTTTCTGGCAGCATCCTTTAAATACACCACTTCTCCATTAGTTAGGTATCCAATCCACCAACCGAATGTTCCTATTGTCATAATCGTATGATCGCATTGAACTACAGTTGCCATATCCATTTCCCTTTTCCCTAAAGACACATATTCAATTGGTACATGTGTAGGCATATTATGTTTAGACCATTCCATACCGTCAGATATCACAATAAATAAAACCGATTTATATTTTGTAACATAGTAATTAACTGCCCTGTTCAAATATTCCGGGGTTGCAATATTAAAACCGTCATTATTATCGACTTTATCACCTCTCCTTATATGAACGCCGACTAAAGTTATATCTTTACGAGATGTTATATTTCTTTTCTGCAATATTTTGTCAATTTCTTGTTTTGCAGCGTCTTTAATATGCTTTTGAAATGTCAATTGTTTTCTTAGCTGTTTGTCATATTTATAGAAATATTTCCATGACTGGAGTCCATATCCTAATTGAATGTTACTTGATGAACTAAAATTTAAAATGTTACGATCGTATTTTGGGGACGCTTTATCTAGCACTTTTGGTAATCCTTTACAGAATTGGCTTGTATTTGTGAATGTTACATTTATTTCGAATATTTGTCTAATCTGGGCATCTGAAGGAATTAAAACATCCATGTCTTTAGACTTTGCTGCTGCAAAAGCTGTAGAAAACTGAAATAATCTATTTCCTAATCCGCCTTGTAAAATTGGACAAATTGAACCTTTTTTGTATGATTTGACTGTTACTATTCTATATCTGTCTGATGGTACAGCTAAAACTGTAGTTTTCGATTTTGAAACAATTTGTCCGAATATGAAATAAATAATAAGTACGATAGGTATGCCTGGAAAAAACAACATTTCTAGCATGAAAAAAACATTATCCTTTCACAAACATTATATATAATAAGGAATACACATTATGTGTCCTCGCTAGCCCAAAATATATATATTTCTCTTATGGTTGTTGAATGTAATCTTTTTCCCGAACGAAAAGATATTTGTCGTATCACGCTCATGTGTGAAAAGAATAAATGCAACAAAAATGCGTTAATTTGATGGACCTTTCCTTTAATGTTTAACGAGATAGTGACAATTCCATTGTCTATTTATTGATTAATGAATGACTGTCAGGGGTCATAATTCTCCCTTGGCAACGAGAATTTGTGATTTCCTCAATATTATACTCACATGATTCACCTGAAATTTTTGTTTATGACAAATTTGATTCCATTCTGAATCATACTAAGCGCTTTAAAATGTACCATATTAACATTATTCTTGGGTTTTGGTACAATACTCACAATACCACAAGTGGATTTATGTTTGAAGTAAAACTATTTTACGGAAACGAAAAGCCGAAGTGACTAGACCAAATCCGAAAATTTAGTCAGCTGTCAGATAGAGCAGTTTAAAGTGTTCAAGTTGTTTGATAAACACAACGGTTCCTCGTTAGATTCAATAATATTGAAGGAAAAACAACAAGACGAAAACGGCGTATATTGTAGATGATCAAATGTTTGAGAACATATAGGTATACGAAGGTTAAGAGACGACGGAGAGTGTAAAGAACGTTGTATATGAAACACCAAAAAAAAAAGCCTGTTGTCAGGTGGTTGTCGTTTGTCGGTATGGTTCATAAGTGTTTCTCGTTTTTCGTTTTTTTATATAGATTACACCGTTGGTTTTCCTGTTTGAATTGTTTTACACTCGTCATTTTAGGGCCCTTTATAGCTTGCTGTATGATGTGAGCCAAGGCTCCGTGCTCAAGGCCGTACTTTTACATATAATTGTTTATTTTTTATACATTGTGACTTGGATGGAGAGTTGTCTCATTGGCACTCATACAACAACTTCTTATTTATATTGGAATACATTCAAAGGCGTAGCCCTAAAGCTATGTGATCAGGAACTCATCCAAATAGTAAGTGCATACATTTTATGATTTGCTGATATTGGGTCAAGTCCCCGGATGAGTTTGAATAAAATATCTAAGATGGAGTGATATGTTCTATAAAAAGATGTAATATGAAGTTGATTGTATGATATGGTTTGAATTTAATGGACGTATTATGCAAGACAATTAAACTGTATATATGAGTGTTATTTGAATGCCACCTGATAGAAAAGCGTATTATAGAAAATGTAATATTACCTTATTTGATGTTTAACAAGAACTTATTGAATTAACTGCTATCTTAGAATCTGTATCTGTCAAACCTGATTCAAATGGAAGATTTTGGAAAAATATCGGCCTTAATTGAAGAAAACACCTTAGATAGACATTGCTAGACATTATTGATTGTATAAGTTATGTTTCTGATGTAAAATAACAAATAGATTGTCCGAAATGTTTTATGCCCTAAATAGTTTTGGGTGTGGTATACTTGATATATGTAATTCTACTGGTTTACGAATATGTTATAGCAGGTTTGGTACTGCTACCCTAGTAAATATACTTTTCAAAATAGAAATGTCTGAAGTCTAATTGATGTTGATATCAAAATATAGTATTTGTACTTTGATCAAGGAGTTAATTGTAAATTAAAAAAATAGATTGTCCGAAAATGTAAACACTCAAAAATAGTTTCGGACGAGTATATATATATACATATTTGTTTTGCATGCACACGTATAAAAATTGCGGTTTTTATCCAACGCTATCATAGGTTTGAACGTTGTTTTCAATTTAGACTTGTTTATATTTTTTCATTTGGGTTTGTATTATATTTGCCTTCGGGTTTATATAATCCGTTCATCCTATTTCGACTCTTCAAAATTCAAGAGTCTATCCTTAATTGAGGTAAATTATATGGCCTTCCGAATACCGTTTCGATTCCTAACATCACTGAAGAGACATTAATTGTCGAAATCCGGATATGGTGTACAAATTTTTGCACCTCATGTTTGCGGTACACCATCTTTTCTGCAAGTTTGCTGTTTTCTGTTTGGTATTAAATTAATAATAAAGATCCATTTTGTTACATCTTGTGATCCGTTTATTTGGCAATCGCCATGGCAGTCAGCAGGGTTTAAGAACATCCGTTGTTCGACCTGCTAGTCAAATGCGTTTTGTTTAAACATACCTTTTCACTTTTTTGGTCTTTTGGAAAATGTTGTTTGTGCTGTATTTAGACCCCTCTACCGATAAATTTGTTTTGCATGCACACGTATAAAAATTGCGGTTTTTATACCAACGCAATCATAGGTTTGAACGTTGTTTCAATTTAGACTTATTTATATTTTTTCGTTTGGGCTTGTATTATATTTGCCTTCGGATTTATATGATCCGTTCATCCTATTTCGACTGATCAAAATTCAAGAGTCTACCCTAAATTGAGGTAAATTATATGGCTTCCAAATACCGTTTCGATTCCTAACATCACTGAAGAGACATTAATTGTCGAAATCCGGATATGGTGTACAAATTTTTGCACCTCATGTTTGCGGTACACCATCTTTTCCGCAAGTTTATTGTTTTCTGTTTGGTATTAAATTAATAATAAAGATCCATTTTTTTTACATCTTGTGATCCGTTTATTTGGCAATCGCCATGGCAGTCAGCAGGGTTTAAGAACATCCGTTGTTCGACCTGCTAGTCAAATGCGTTTTGTTAAAATATACCTTTTCACTAAATTGGTCTTTTGGAAAATGTTGTTCGTGCTGTATTTAGACCCCTCTACCAAGAATTTTGTTTTGCATGCACACGTATAAAAATTGCGGTTTTTATACCAACGCAATCATAGGTTTGAACGTTGTTTCAATTTAGACTTGTTTATATATATATATATGTATAATTTTGCTGGTTTACGAATATTGGCTATTATTTTTAAAATCTTTTTGGTCATATTGCTCTTCAACTGTTTCGGTTCTTATACGTCCTGGCTTTTAAATACCGTATATCGGGGTTTTTTCGCGTCAACTTTTTTTCGCGATTTGATGACAAAATGGCAGGTTAAATTTTCACTGTGTATAATTTCCGCTGAATGGGAAAATACACGCGAAAAAAATCACCGTATCGAATTGTTAGAGATATAAACAATACAAACTAGATTGACTGACTGAGAATCGATAACAAATAAATACGAGTACTTCAAACTAAAATACACGTAATGTTTGAGTTATGACAACACTCAATTGATCGTCGCTAATTACCTCAACGTTTTTGGACATGTCACTGATTGCTGTGTTGTCACAATGGGATGGCATGTATGATTAGTCAATTTAATTATTATGAAAACAGATGTTTTAATTAATTATGCACACTTTTGTGATAAGCCGAAACACAAAATTCTAATTTTAAAGATATTGTAAATTCAAAATTTAGGGTGAAATGAGTCTGCATATCAATTTCGTGTAAACTCGACAATCAACAGTATAATATATGAAACGTTTAGACAGCGATAAATCAAGGAATATGCAGGGAAATTTGCGCGGGGTAAAATGTTTGCGTTTCTTTAGGTGCCGCGAACAAAGCGAAAATTAAAAAACGCGAAAAAAAAACCGATATAGAGTAGTCGGCTTTGAATGTTCCTGATGAAGTTAAACTCCGAAAAACGCTTAAAACACATGAACTTTATAAGCGTTCCTTTTGTATTTTACAGCTCTGGTCAATACCGCGGCTGGTGGACGATCAGCCTTTAGGGGAATTATCAGCGCAGTAGTCAGTACTTCGGTACTAACTTTATTTAAAACGAACCCTTCTACGATTGTCCATTTATAACTTAAAAGATTTTAAAGAAAAAAAGGTTTCAACTCCCTAAGGCTAAATTAACCCTAGATTGATTTTGCTATTACTTTTAGGTTCTTTTGGGTTATAAACATGTAGCTCTTCAACAGTTTCAGTTCGTATACATCCTGGCTTGCTTTCAGACATTCGGCTTGAGTGTTCCCGTTGAAGGTAGATCCAGAAAAGCGATTCGGCCGCATGACATTAATAAAGTGTCGTTTTCATTTTGTTTAATGCATGCTCCATTATGTGTTGAATTATATAAAAATATTTATAGAAAGATTAATGGTTAATTTTGATGTGTAAAATTTGTTTGCAAAAGAATGAGATGGGATGAAAGGTTTATGGACGGTATATTGAATGACATGCTGATGAATGTTTAGAATTTGAACATTCAATATTTAATTCAATGGATCATGAGAGCGATTTAAATGATTTAAACAAACTGCCTTCAAAAATTTGGGAATGATACACCATAATGGAAGTTGAAATTACAAATTATTGCAAACATTGCGTCAATACAAATACATGCAAAGGTAGAAAATTCTTTGTTGAAACTGATTTACCATGGATTTCGGAAGATTGTAAGAACCATTATAGACAGTGCAAATTGGCTTTTAATAATTTTAGTGTAAACTATTCAGATGACAACAAAATAAAACTGAACTTTACTAAGCAGAAACATGAAACATAAATTTAGGTAGATAAATAGTAACTCTAAATTTCAAATTTTGGTCATCTAAGGTTATCATTATAAGATCTGCGATCAAGGATTCATCTGGTACTGCGTCTATATCGGTGTCTAATGTGTATCATCGCACCAGAAATTATGAAGTCAATGGTTTATGATCAGCATACTGAGAAAAAAGTAAAATCACAAAAATACTGAACTCCGAGGAAAATTCAAAAAGGAAAGTTCCTAATCAAATGGCAAAATCAAAAGCTCAAACATATCAAACGAATGGATAACAACTGTCATATTCCTGACTTGGTACAGGATTTTCTTATGTAGAAAATGGTGGATTGAACCTGGTTTTATAGCTAGCTACACCTCTCACTTGTATGACAGTCGCATCAAATTCCATTATATTGACAACGATGCGTGAACAAAACAAACAGACAAAATAAGTAAAAATGTCAAAAATAGGGGTACAGCAGTCAACATTGTGTTATCATCTTAATCACTATAAAAACAAACAAATGTAAAAAGAAGCACAAAAAGGCATACATCACATTTAACATCCTCGTTTTGCTTTTTTTATTATACGATTTTATTTATCTATGTAAAATCCACCAATAAAGGATGGAAGGTTTTAAGTACTGGCATAGAATCGCGCGTTTGACGTCACACAGGTAGATATAAAATAATTTTGTTGTTCAAAGTATGACGGGATACATAAGTACAGAGTCACGTCAAATGGATATCACAAAAAACAGACTTAACAGTATAAGTAATATTAATAAAGACACATAAAAGAATACTATAACACGTTATTAAGATGATAACAACGTCAGTACGCAGAATCTATACTTCAAGACCATCGTGTATTATTTGTGAAGTTGATACGGTATATTTATAAACAAGGTCTTGGTACCTTCCGATGAACTTTTTTAGAAAAAGGACGAGACGTTCTTTGACATACCCCTGGTTCATCAACTTTCTGCTCAGACACTGGTGACGTTTTACAAAATCTGAGTAGGAGCTGCAAGCTCTTGAATACCGATTAAGTTGGGAAATTTATATCCCATATGCAGATGAAGTTGTTATATTGCTACTAAGGTGGGGGAAATTTATAATTTCAAAATTAAAATCGTCTCGTTTGTCATAGATTCTGGTACTGAGATGACTGTGTATGTCAAATTCGAAGTATAAGTCTAAAAATGAGGCGGAAGAAGCCGTGTCTGTTTTTTCTTTAATTTCTAGTTCTGGGGGATATATTAATGGAACCCAATCAGAAAAGTTCGGATTGTTAATGGAAAGAACATCATCAATATATCTGAAAGTGAAATTAATTAACCTGGCTTCTATGATCGTCTTGTTTTTGACAAGTGTCTGAAGGAACTCCGATTCATATGAAAATAAGAAAAGGTCGGCAAGGAGAGGCGCACAGTTTGTTCCCATAGGAATGCCGACAATTTGTTGAAAAAGTCTACCTCCAAATTTCACATGGGGAATGGTGGTATACAAGGTAGAAAAATCAAAAGTTTTGATAGAACTAATTTCAGAAAAAGACCGAGATTTGAAATTATCCAGAAGTTCTTTAGAGTTTTTAAGAATCCACATATGGTTAATACCACTATGCGAGTAAACAGTTTCACAGTATTTCTGAAGACCCTTTCACTGTTGACAGAATTTTAGTCAATCTAATGGACAATTCTTTAGTGGAACATGCAGATGAGGCGGCAATGTACCGTTGTTTGTACGTAATTTTATGAATTTTAGGTATCCAATACAAACAAGGTAAGTAAGGTTAGAGTATCAATAATAAGTTGTGGCATGCAGACGGTATTCAGTTTGGATTGTTATCAACCCAAAACAGTTGTTTTCATTTTAATATGGCGTCTGAAACATGTTATATAATATGTTATTTGACAAGCAGGTCTATGCAGACTACTCGTTCTATTAGAATCAATTATTTAAATTGTAAATATCAGTTGATTAAGACAGTAGTCATGTCTGATGAAAATTCTAAAGGAAGCCTTGCATATACTGAAAATCGTTTACGACCCATTCCATTCAATGTGTTTGTTAAAAATAGGTACATTGTATTTTAAGTGAACTAATATGCTTTATATAAAAGTGCATACGAATCTACTATACCCTTCATTTTATACATGATCATGGTTTTTAAATGCTTTTTGTTAGGTTTACGGACTGTATAGCCTTCTTGTTATATGGTTTGTAACTTTCTTGTGGCAATGTTTTTTTCGTGTTTTGATTATTTTCCAGTGTTTTTTCTTTTTGAAAAGTCTACATCATGGTTCCCTTTTTCAGGTATTATATGTCAATTTTATTTCGCTATTTATCTTAGCCATGCATCTATCTTACATTTGCCTAAATTCTGTAAGACCTCTTTCAAGGAATTGTTCTGAAAAATACAAAAGCAGATACAATTTTAAATAAATATGTATATAATTAGTGGTTACTTTTAAATGCGTCAACATGTAAAATCGTACAAAATAGTAAAATTATGGGATTCTGAGAAATCGAGGGATATTGAAAAACACAATCTGCAAATCAAGAAATTATAAGGATAGGTTCTTATACACATATATTTGGTCGATTTGTTAGATTCTCACATGCTATGCAAATTCAAAGTAACACTTGTTTCGTTTTGGAATAAATTGCTGTCGAGGGATTTCGAGCTATGTTAGTTTTTTCAACATTGATGCATATCTTACATCGATATTTAAAAAAATAAAAACAGTTAATTTCTAAAGGTAATTGTTTTGATGATACAATTGATTTTCAACTCTAGTTATGATTTATTTCAACCCTCATAATTCTTTTATCTCACAAACTTCAATATGAAACATCAAAGTAACCTTGGACTATTGCCTAATATATGACAGCTACAGATGACAAACTAAAAATATAAGAATGAAAGTAAATACGACCATGTCTCAAATATCCGTTGCGTCCTAAAAGTGGTCATATATTCTTAAAGGTTGCCAATTCCACACTGTAATTGGATATTTGAATATTGTTTTTATTGGTAAATTAAAACCATACTTAATATTGATGCTATACAGATATGCAAATTCATGGTTTCCATAATATGTTGTTTTTCGTAAATTGTTTTGTTATTAATTAGACCATTAGTTATTGAATTTAATTGTTTCATATATTGTTTCATTTCGGGGCCTTTTATAGCCAACTATCCGGTATGGGTTTTTTTGCATTGTTGAAGGCCTATAATTGCTTACATCCACTTCATTGTAACTTTGGTGGATAATGGTCTTACTGGCAATCATTCAACATCTCCTTATTTTCTCTTATAGTTACATTAGTGGTTTTTCAATGTAAGACCTTAAAAATAGTAAAACTTTTTCTTTCATCTGTACCCGGGTCCTCTTAATACTGATCATAACATTAAAAAAAATATAACTTAGTAATTCTTAAAACTTATTTGCCCTTATTTATTTAAAGCATTAACTTATCATAAAAGAGTTTTACGAGCTATGCTTATGGAATAACTTGAAATTATTAAATTGAATTTTTTACTTGATTTAAGTACAGATGGGTGCAATCCTAACATGTAAAGCTAGTTAACTTGATGACCAGACTTTATGACAGGATTTATGACTGACCAGACCGGTCCTACTACAGAATTCATGTTAACAAATAAGAAGACTTGGTCATAGGACTGTTTTTAAGACTGCCCGAAAAGTTAACTTTACGGCAGGTCTAACATTGAAGTTAACTCTGGACGAAGTGAAATTTGCCTAAACAAGTCCTACAGAAAAAGTTAATTTGTGACCAGTTCTGTTATTAAAAACAGTCATTGGACTGGACTGCTCTGTCCGAACCAGACCGGTTCTAATAAAAGTTAACTTATTATAATTAATATTATGTTAATATTTGAATATATTTGGAAATCATATGTTACTCTTTAATTTTATCACAAGAAATTCAGTTTAAAATTGGTATAAAATCAGTGTTTTTTAATGATGCACAAAGTTATATTTATGAAATCTTGCCCATTGTTTCTCAAATTTTATGTCGTACCAATACTTCAATGAATACAATAGAGGAAAACGAAATTTCTGTCTGGTATTTCATAGTTGAAGCAATTAAATGTTATGCATTTATTTTTTTACAATTTTTCAAAATTCAAACACCCTGCAATTCAGGTTTCCATATCAATGTATCAAAATTATTTCAGTGCTCAATATTGTAGAAATTATGTAATGGCAATAAGTCTTTTTTTATGAATTCAGACTATTTCTGAAAAAAGCATATTTTACCATTTTGTATGGTGGTATTTTAACAAGTATTTCCGGAAAAGCAATGTGTTGCCGAGGGAACCAGTGAATATGATAAAAATTATATTGTTTTCTTGTTATAAATATCATGCAATATATTATTTAACACCAATCTTATAAAAAATTTTTTTTTTCAACATTCCAATCGATCCTCAGTGCTTCCTGACATGGCCTTAATTGAAATAATACATTTTCATAGTAATGAAAATATATCAGCCATTTCAAGGACTGAATGAAAAGTGATTTTATGGATATATCAAATTACTTGAAAAATATTTCAAACTCTCAAATTTTCAAAAGGATTCAAAATCTTTGTTGTTCCCGGTTCCCCGTCACAACACGGTTAGTGGCAGAATAAGGGGAAAGATATGGATTTCCTGGACTCCACCCTCTGTCTGTATGCCCGTAAATATGTCTTATAATCGCTCTCAAACTAATAATTCGTCCCAGGTTTTTATGGAATTATATCAAAGGTTGATGACAACAATTCCTCGAACGAGTTCGAAAAAAAAGTGCTGATGAAGTAAATCAAATGAGTTATGATCATTGGTAAAATGAATTATATGGAAAATTGCATCGTAAAGGCTCACATGCCTACATTCCAAATCGGATTTAAATAAAATTTGTATATCAAAGGTTTTTATCAGGAAGGTCTTTGACGAGTTCGATAATCAGCACAAAAACATTTTTTTGGGTAGGAGTTATGCCATTTGGAAATATAAATTTTTTGGAAAATTGCATTGTAAACAATATCACGTCTACATTTTTTGTAGGATATTAATGAAAACGTTTAACAAAAAAAAATTGTTTTTTATATAATGGAGTTTATGTTCAAAAGGGCACATTGGTGGACTGTTCTTTACTGATATCAAAACTATAAAAATTAATACATCTACTTCAGTGGAATATCTGAACACACTAGCATGAACAACCTGTTTGAAAAATGGGTATTTACATAGATACAAATAAATAGATACACAAGTTACCTCTTTTATTGTTTCTGTTTTCATTGCTATATTATAAGTGTATTGCCGATTCGCTTTTTCCTGTTTATGCATGCATAAAAGCGAAAAGAAAATCGTTCATCCATAGAAATGGTTTTTAGTGACTATGATGACTATGGGTTCATGTTATTTGATAATGTTTAGGAGTAATTAAATAATGCTCAAATAAAAATTATTTTACATGTCAAACAATTAAATTGTAATTTGTCAATGAAAATGCACCGTCAGTGGATTTATTTTTGCTTGGTAGTTGTAAAGCCTGAGTAATAGCGAAGATAAAGAAGAAAAGGTAAGAACTATTATTATTGTACATTTAACTGAACCAATAATGTATTCAAGTATTTGAAATTGGATAATAATAAAGTTCAAAGTAATCCTTTCCAGCATCTAAAGTTCGGCACTATCAAATGCATTTATAATGATAATAATATTTATTCAACTAAAAAGCAGAATGAAATATCACAAGGAACAGATATCACTGTTCTGACTCAGTAGTACTAGAGACAAAGATAACAAATCAATATCCCGTTTTACCCTTAGCATGTTGATATAGTGGAACTGTTGAGAAAGAGATACCTAATTACAATTCAGACTGGGAAATTATCTAAACATTAAACTTAATTAAAGAAGTCTTGACATCAGCTATCCCGTCTCTTCTTTAATATACTGACGGACTTTATATACGCAACCCAAGATAACATTTTGAGTTTGATTTTCAAATATATATTACTTGTATAAAACATATGTAAACATAAATGTATTCATAACTTTATTATCTAAATAGCGTTTGCAGTTCAAAAGATGAATGATGACGTCACTTTTAATGTTCAAATAATGTTGTATGGAATGAAACCCTAGTATTCCGTTTTCTCCTTATGCATGACTGTTTGTAACCTACACCTAATGATTGACAGAAGGTCGAACAGTTCTGTGGGGGATGTTTTGATATCAGTTTTGTCCCTACTGATTATGCCTCTGTCTCGTACATTACAGTCTGTTATGACAATTGTGCGGTTAAATCGGTAACCGTTTAATAATTTTCTGCCGTGGATTCTTTGGAATATAAGCTTATGGAAGAAAACAAATTTGGCGCTAATCGGTCTGTCATAACAGCCATGACTTTGATAGCAGTCGACGTTGCAATCGTTAATTTGACTCAACTTAATAGCGTAATAGAATTTTATTGATGTAGCGTTGTAACTACGGGTTGACCTGGTCATTGATGGTCATTAATAAATCATGTTTGTTTCTACCATTGTTGTAAGGACTGAAAGGTGAATTTCTTTCGTGAAAGTGTTTAGCAACAGCACGTTGGCTGATTCTTGCATTAGCATGCTAATGACCTGATTCATGATGAAAATTACCGAACATCATATAGGACATCCCAAAAACTGTTATTTAGATTCAAGATCAAGAATGTTATAAATTGTGATCAAGGATCAAAATAATTATCATGAATTGATTAATTCGTTATCACGAATTGAATTTGTTATCTCAAATTTTGAAATTCGTTAGCAAGAATTCGATCTGATAATCAGTGATGAACTTTTTCCAAGGGATGTCTTAAATTGGTTCCGATAGAAAATGTCTTTAAAGATGATAAACATTCTGTTGATACTTATATTTTGGTATTTCGCAAAGTTAGAAATTTTCAAGACCTTTTCTAATTCTAATTAGAAAAAGGTAATATCGGGATAAAATGTCTAACATGCGTCTCCTGATATGTATACACTACCCGCCATACGAATCCAATCTCAGTTTGAATATCACAATCATGAATAGCACGCAATCTATAAAAACTACAGATCGCAAAAACATGTCGCAAATGAGTTGAGATACAGACATATCATATTTGCTAACAGACCGTAATCGTGACCGTAACATTTTTGTCAATTTCCGTCGGTCCTCCTCTAACCCTATTGAAACAGTTTGGGTTTAACAACCACAACCCTGCAAATCAAGTCATGACGATGTAAACATGAATGAGCGTTATTTTTCACTTGAACTATATTTGTATGTAAACTCCATAGAATGAAAGGGTATCTTTCTGCTGAAAAATTGAAAGCTGACAATTGAAAAGTGAAATCATCACGTTTGTTATATTGTTTTTTAGTTTGAGGTCGTCCATTGAATATCCTTAATCGCCATTTCACTGGAATATGTAAGTTGTTATTCAGAGACATCAATATATCTTCAAGTGAAATTAACGACCTTTTATTTTTGTTGGTCTTTTAGAAGGTTTTGTATGAATTCTGCTTCACATGAATACAAAAGCTTTTGGCCAGTATTGTACAATACACTCCATAAGAAAATGATCTGTTCATCGTGTAGTCCATGTATTTTAACTACAATAAACATCCTAAAAGTGGTCATCAAACTAATCTTATTTCATTCTGTGTAATACATTGATAAATAACAAATCTATTGATCCAAGAAATCAAACATATACCAAAAAATTGTTGTGATCGAAAATAAAACCGACGTCATTGCAAAGTTATAGATTTTTAGTACGCTATTCATCGACTGGTCCATTAAAACATAACATACGTTCATAAAAATTTTAACACATGTATATAACGACTATGATTTATTTAATATGTGATAACATTAGCTAAAGCTACTACCAAAAGATTTGACGCATACTCGAATCAAACCAGTTAGTACATGTATTGCTTGTATATTTTTGTATAAACCATTAACATTAAAAAAGGACCACGTATGATTTTTGTTATTTGATCTGGCAGTGAAAAATATATTTGATATTCTTGTCGTCTATGAGTTATTACATAATGTACTCTATGCTTAAGGATTTACTCGGCTATTGAGTTACTTTAAGTTTTCAATGCGCATGCACCGTAAGTAAAACAATTCTCATAAGAGTAAATAAAATCGAAGTCGTAGAATGTATTTCATTCTAAGGTAGGATGTAAACTGAATCTACCTTTTTCTGAAATCTCCGAAATTGTAATACTGTATTCATGTTTTGTGGAATTTTTAAAGTGGATTGATTGTTATTTGTTGAACATCACTGAATATATTTTATATCAGTTGCTGACTTTTTTCTTGATTATCTGTAAACAGGAGATACCTATGCAACATTATATTGTAAATACAAATACCAAAATCTAATAATTTATACAAAAATGTGAAACAATTGGAATAACGCAAGGTTTCAGAAATGAATATTTAAACACACGCCATTGATAACCACTAACCTGTATAATTCTTCTTTTGCAGGATACATATTTTACTGACGAATAATGGACAAATTGAAGAACTCCTCAAAATGTGTCTTAATAATTATTGCCATTTCTGTATTCTTAATACTATTCCGTCATACGATGATAAAGGTTAGCGACGAACATGTAAAATCCAATTATACTGAGCTGACGCCTAACAAACGTGATTCATATTTTTCAACATATTTAGATGAAATTAAAAAGACAAAGTTAATATGTGGCCAACTGTGTAATACATCACGAAACGGAACTCCAGGAGTTTTCTTCGATAGAATTACAGCCACTATACATTGTGAAGCATTATTTCAAAGCAAATATGTTGATTCATCTCATGGACTTGAGTATGCCCCAAGAAAAATACCTTCAATTCTATGGAATGATTATACCATGAATGGACAAATAAAAGTACACACGGCCTATTTTAACCAACCCTATCTTGGTAATACTGCGAGGACACCTATTTGGACCAAATCCTTACTCGAGAAGTATATAGCGCGAGCAAAGGAAGGTAAACTGTTTGGTGTTTACGGAATATCTGAAACTAACGCATTAAGAGACGGTCTACTACATGCACCAGGAGTGAAAGGAGGGCGTGTTCTAGTCATCGGATCCGAAAAACCATGGGTTGAAGCATGCTTGCTTGAAATAGGTGCAAAGAGTATTGTTACACTTGAATATGGAAGGATTGAATCTGAACATGACCAAATAGCTACGATGATTCCATCTGAATATAGACGAAAATTTTTAGATAATTCATTAGGATTATTTGACGCAGTTGTATCATTCATGTCCATAGAACATTCTGGACTAGGAAGGTATGGGGATGCTTTGAATCCTTGGGGCGATTTAATAGTAGTAGCTAGGGCTTGGTGTGTAACAAGAACAAATGGATCTCTTGTACTTGGTGTTCTATACGACATAAATAATGATTACATAACATTTAATGCACACAGGTGTTATGGTAAAAAAAGATATCCTTATCTGACAACAAATTGGATTCAACATTATTTGGGGAAAGGACTACAGCGGGTTCATGTATTCACAAAATAAAATCAGTTATCATACATCTAATATTAACTTCCCGTATCTTCATTTATCCTAAAAACGGATGTACAAATGTGATACCGATCTTTATCCGTGATAAAGCGATTTCAAAACATCTATTCGACGTCATATCGTTTAATCTTGTTAGACGCCGCGGTTAATGAGCCATTTCATGTTCAGCTCGAAGAAGATACAAACACATTCAGATTAAAGATGCGCTCAACTTCGATATACACCAACGAATGACTGCCCGGATGACGTGACCTTCACCTCACTTTCATCTTTGATTGATTAAAAAGTTCAGTATTCATTTTATTTCAAAATATGAAAGATTGAGGTTAAACTGTATTTTGCTTTTTTATATGCTCATTGTATGTTTAGTCGACAACCTGCCTTGGTTCATCTTACGGGTATTAAGTATGTGTGATAATGTATCTAGTAAGACCTTAATCTCAAAGACCTTCAATATAAGATTTATTCATAATTAGTTAAGAAGACCAGGCAGTCTTCTTCGCAGTTAATAACTGAAAAACCTGGTCTTTGACATAATGTATAAATCCTGGTCTTCCCTGTCATTTTTAAGCACTTTTATTCTTTCGACTTTTCGTCTGTATGTGAAACCACAAGAGTTTAGGCCTAAAAAATTTCCCCGGTGTTTAAATTATATTTCTAAAGATTTTTTTAAAAATAATTTTTATTTATTTTCACCTAATTAATGTGTTTTTGTTCCTGATCATACGACCTTAGAATAACAGTATTTTATAAGTGCTTACCCTCTATTCCTATTTTCTCGTAAGAATAGAGGGATAGCACAAATAAGATACTGTTATTGTAAGATCATGTGAATTGGAGCAAAACCGAATTGAATAACTAAAAATAACTTAAAATATATAAGAATTTTGTTTATTCCAAAACACAAAACTAAACGCCAAAATAAACAGGAGAAAGAGGCGTTCAATGCCCAAGCTGTCTGTGAGTAAAACAAATGACTTCATGTCTATAATGACTTACATGGAAACATGTTTTACTGTAATTTATCTAGTGAGTAAAATTCACTCTATTTCATTAACCATGTAACAATGAAATGAGCCAAAATTTCATTTTTCGAAAGTCTAAATTTATGACACGTTGAAGGGTAACTTATCAACTCTCATTGCAGTAATTAACCGGACCATATGAGTATACACGCATATGGTCATGACCATACGCGTATGGTCCAAATACTCATATGACCCGTAACATGTATATGCCATTTGATGAGTTAATTTACATCCACAGGGTCGATGCCACTGCTGGTTGATATTTCATCCCCGAGCGTATCACCAGCCCAGTAGTCATCACTTCTGTGTTGACATAAATTATCATTGATATGGTTATAATTGACTGTTTACAAAACGTTGAATTTTTCGAAATACTAAGGGTTTCCTACACCAGGAATAGATTATCTTAGCCGAATTAGACAAAACCTTTCGGAATTTAGGGTCCTCACTGCTCTGCATCCTCGTACTTTATTTGGCCTTTTTAAAGTTTTTGATTTGATCGTCACTGATGAATCTTTATTTCCGCCAACTTGGCAGCAATATATATACCAACTTCATCCGCATATGGGATATACATTTCCCAACTCATTCGGTATTCAAGAGTTTGAAGCTGCTACTCAGAATTTGTAAAACGTCACCAGTGTCTGAGCAGAAAGTTGATGAAAACTTCATCGGAAGATACCAAGTCCTTGTTGATAAATATTCCTCACAAATAATACATGATGCTCTGGAAGTATAGATTCTAGGTACTGACGTTGTCATCTCAATTACGTGTTATAATGTTCTTTTTGTTTGTTTTTGTATATTTTTAAACTTTACTGTTTGGTAATAAGGTCATAATTATAAATTAACTGTGAACAAAACTTTGAAATTTTGAAATGCTAAGGATTTTCTACCCCAGGAATAAATTATCTAATCTGTATTGGTAATATTTTTCGGAATTTTAGGTCCTCAGTGCTATTCAATCTCGTACTTTATTTAACCTTTTTATTATTTTTATTTTCACGTCACTGATGAGTCTTTTATAGAAAAGAACGCGCTTTTGGTGTACATAAATCTAATCCTTGTATTTGGTAAATGTATTACTACACTAATTGTATTATCAACTTCAAAAAGTTGTTGGTTGCTGGCGTCTTTGTTTGTACGTTTGTTTGGAATTTATAAGTCAGTTATGCTGTATAAAAATTCATAATGTGTCTATACATTGCATCATGATCCCAATTATTGTCCCGTTAACCATTTATGACTGTTTAAAATATAAACAATTGTCATACAAGTGGTAGTTTTATCTAGCTATAAAGCCATTTTTAATCCTGCTTTTTGTTTTCTTCGAAAAAAAATGTCTTATCGAGTCAAAAACATGACATATGTTTTCCAGTCTTTCAGTTTGTTGAAATATTTTAGCGTTTAGTTTTGTTAGGCTTTATGGACTTCACCCTTTTTGAATATACCTTGGAGTTTCGTATTTTTGTTAACACATTTTATGGAAAGCAAATAAATACGATTACGAAAATCTTTAAATGCGATGAAATTTATGTATAGATTATTTATCTTCATGCAAACAATTAAGTAGGTGCACATGGACATCATATGACATCTATCAAAATGTTCCCTCAAATGAACTTAACTGGTGCCGTCCAGTTAATTTTGTAAGAGCTTATTATATATTACCTTGGGGTGCATCGATTAGGTGATTTGCAACACAAAGAACGTTTCTTTGTTTTTTTTGCTTTTAACCAAAAAAGGGCATTTTTTTATGCGCTTGCTTTATAATCATAAGTGCAACATTTAACAAGAAATTGTAGTTTTCATCATTCAGACTCAATAGAGTTCTCCAAATTATAAACATACCACGGAACACTTGTCAAAGTCATTTAACATGTTTTGATATATAGATAATCGTCAGCTGAAATTATTTGATATCACTGCTGTTTTGATAAACATTGGAGTAACAAATATTTTTGGGTCGACTATTCCATTTTGAAATTCGTAAAGCCTGTAGGTGTAGGCGGAGAGAATTTGATTGATTTGCCTTCCAAGAATTAATTACTGTACCAACCTAGATTCGAACCCAGAACCCCTGTCACAGTAAGGCACTGCTTTGCCAACTAAGCTATAAGAGTGCTATAGTTTGATTTTCTACACTTTTGTACAGACAGAAGCAAACGCTGAAATGAAAAATGTATCAAAGACGACATGCTTGTTATTTGGTACGCCTAGGTTTCGAACACTTTAGACTCATCAGTGGCGCTTGAATGTGAAGTCATATAGCACGTGACCTATGCCATTAATAATTTGTAATGGAGCTGTTTTGTCGATTCGATTTAGACTTATATTAATATCATTTCATATTCATTCTGGTTAACTTTATAGATAATATTGATATTTACTGGGGTTATTGATATCTAAATCTGTCCAAACGTTTTATAATGAGTGGACGAAATAGTCCTGCGCGGCATTATCCAAATGATCCTATGCATGGGAACAAAAACAATATGTCAGCCAATTGAAGAATATGAGAATTTCTGTCAAGTCTACCTTGATGCTAACTTGATGCTAATGAGAGACTTTTCGTGGTGACAAACCAACACACTAACGAGAACAGCGGACCTTCACGTACAGAAGAACTGCTGAAGGAATCTACTTCCGCTCTAAAGTCGGCAAACGAAGCAATGTCGGCGATGCCTCAGCCTATCAAGCTACGTATGGAAACACCACCCCTCTCACTTCTACAAATGTTGAACAAACTTTCCACAGACAAGTAGACACTTCAAAATGGATTGTATTGGTGGAGGATTTATCGAAATTTGACTACGTGTCGACTTCCTTGCGCAAGCAAAGTTTAGAAGGTAAGGACATAAACTTATCTTTATTACTTTATCTAAAGAACGAGATTCACCAGACACGCTCTGTCTTTTCTGAAGGGCTAACTGTAGAGTTATCGGCTCCTAGGGATCCTCTTCTAGTGAAAAGTTTGACACTTGTTAAGTTCAACAAGGCTTTCAGGAAATTAAGGAATATCATTTGTAAAGTGTACCCACAACGGTAAAATGAACTTGATTAATACGAGGCCGATTTTAGTAATATTGCCTATAACTACCGACCAAGATTTCATCGATATCACAAACTGTTTTTGGCTAATGCCGCCAATGCTATAATAGAACATATTAACATCGCCATTAACTGAGGAAAGGTATACGATCGTCTTTTGCATTTTGTAATAAATGGTTTGCAAAGTAGAGAATGCGAACTCTGTGGAAATTACGACCACACAACAAAGTTCTGCAATAAACAAGCATATCAAGAAACCCCTGTATGCGCCCTAAAACACGACAAACGCTCGTGTTGTAGATAAAATAAAAGATAGGAATTGGAGGTGTTTAGTTCAAGCAGAGGGTCATGATCTTTACAATGACTTTAATTATGGAACATGCAAATGGAAAGATTATAAATTTACAAATGCGTGTCTTAAGTGTAAAAAATAGGTCATGGCTTTAATCAACAATAACAAGGATACCAGTAATCAAAACAAAACTGCTGATAAGCTGAAAGTCAAAACAGATAGGTGACTTGTAGTGAATGATGATTTTCCATTATCTCACATCAACGTAAATAACCTTGAGAAAGAATTAACAAATATCCAGATAGGCATTTTTGTTAAATATTTATCAGACGGTATAAAAAACGGTTTTAATACCATGGTGTCGAAAACAGAATTACCAACAGTTGAATGTAAAAATCTACAATCAGATTTCTGAAATCCATACAGCGTTAATAGTGTAATCAAACAAGAGGTTGATAAATGTTAAATCATTTAAAAGGCTCCCTTTTGATAGGTATCATGTGAGCCCAATAGGTATAGTGGACGGCAAATTTTTGGAGAAAAACAGGCTAATAGTTGATTTGTCGTCTCCACATGAAAGTCGAGATTATTCAAGTATTAACGATTTAATCGATAAAGATCAATGCTCGCATTGCCGATGTATT